TGGAGACACATTCAACTATGTTTAAACAGATCGTTTTCCTTTCCTTTAAGGTAGATTTGTACGAAATACTTTTTTACTTTGGTAGACTTGTATTGATGGTTTTTTTTTAACTTTTCCTGCACAGTAGACTTTTAATGTTTTCTTGGAATACAAGACTAACTTTATGTGGTAGATTTTTGGCAGTGATATTTATATTAGGTAGATTTATAATTAATTCGGTAGATTTTTAGGTAGATTTAGTTATGTTATTATTTGGTTTGACTGATGTGAAATTACTATACATGCCAAACAGTCGTGGATGATGGAGATGCAGGAAACATCAGAGCCAGGTTTTCCTGTTGCAAGAGTTGTTAGAACCCCAGCGTCGAGAGGAAAGACTGTAACCAAAGTGAAAAAAGAACCTGCTGATCCTAAAGAGAAGAATAAATCAGGCACAAAGTCAAAACCTGATTTAAAAGACAAAAACGAAGAAAGCCAGATAATCAATATAAGCGACGTTTCACGCCCACTACAGTCTAGACGAGTACAGATCCCTTCCCTGCAAGACGAAGACGACTCAGCGATTGAAGCTATGAAGAAACGCTTAGATAAGCTGGTGGAACATGCAAAAAATCCACCTGCTGAGAAGGAAAAAAGGGGACGCAGCCTTGCACCGACCCAGGTTTCACCCTACCTTGGTAACTCAGTGGTGAGACGCATCATGGACCCAGCAAGTCCCCCTCCTGGGAGGTATGATCCTTTTGAAGCGGTGGACAGTCGAATACTGGATAATCTAACCCGCTACGTAGCTTTTGAAGCGTAAGTCAGTTTTAAATTTCCATGGTAGACTTACTTGTTTGATTTGGTAGACCTATTTGTTTTATATAGTAGACTTATTAGGTATGTTGGTAGACTTACTTCGGAGTCTGGTATGTCTATGTCATTTTTTCAGGGAAAAACAGTTGGAGAGTCCATATGCAGGAGGAGAATTTTACCTGACACTAATGACCCCTAAAGAAAGCTGGCCGAGAAAGGAGTATGGGTGGTTGCATGATCAGGTATGTGGTCGTATCAGTCACCCGATCTTAGTTTCAAAAGGTTTGGTAGACTTTGGAAATTGTTTGGTAGACTTTGGAAACTTAATGATAGAATTACTTTGGTAGACTTGTAGTAACAAATGGTAGATTTAGTCATTATGTTTGGTAGACTTGTATTATATTATGTAGTAACAAATGGTAGATTTAGTCATTATGTTTGGTAGATTTGTATCTTTTATGTTTGGTAGACTTGTAAAGCTGGTTGGTAGACTTATATAAATTTGTTTCATTACCTAATGCAGCATATGTGCAAAGGATTAGACATGTTCCGGCAACGGTCTATGTGGTATCCATCTCCTTACAAAGGGGGAAGAGTTGCTTTCATTGATCCTATCTTTTGTCGAGATTGGTGTGGCGACTATCGAACCAAATTTCTACCAAACGAGAAGAGTTGGATATTCAGTGATGGTTATTTGGACGTTGCCAACGGTCACTACGACCATTACTTGCCTACACACAAGAAATGGGGGACAGATGTTGATTTCGTGTATATCGCCCACAACGTGAACAACGAACATTGGGTAGCCGTTGAGGTCGACATTCCCAAAAAAAAGATCCGAGTGTTTGATTGCATTCCAGATTTATACAGAAAAGGCGAGGTGGAGGAGTCTGTGAAGCCCTACGCGAGGATGATTCCGCTGTTGTTGAAACATATGGCACCACCGGAGCTCAAGAAGGGTATGAAGGAGGGGCAGTTTCATATCTACATGTATAAAACAGCGGCACTGAACAGACAGACAGGTGCAATGCAGCTCTGTAGATTTGGTATTTTTATTTGGTAGACTTTTAACTAATTATCGGGTACTTGTTATCAGGTGATTGTGGCGTCTTTACTTTGAAGACCATCGAGTGTTTGGCTTTGTGCCATAAATGGGACCAGCTGAAAGATAGCAACATGCCTCTCATTCGTATGAAATACGCAGCTGAGATTTTTGATGAGGTACATGAAGCAGAAGAATCTCGGATGTCTGATCCTAACCCTCGAAGTTTATTTGATGACAAGTACGGTTTACAGACAGACTCCGCTAACTGAGATCTTGGTTTGGTAGACCTTTGGGATCTGAAATCGTTTTTTGGTAGATTTAATACTCAGATCCAAACTAATTGGTAGAGTTTTGGTATCGGATGTTGTATTTTGGCCGATTTATTACTCATAGCCAGCCTCTTTGGTGGTCTTTTGGAATTTAGACGTCGCTTGTGTTTTGGAATTTAAAGCGACTCGCCATGGCTGTAAAAGGAACCTGCTTTGTAGATTTATAACATGATTGGTAGATTTATTCCATGAATGG